CATAAACAAAGAAACGCAAGTCTAAACTACAGAAACAAAGAGAAAGATAATAACTGATTTCAATAGTGTTACTGAGCTTTGTACCACGATTTGTTTGTTAGGAATAATGGAAAAAACAACAATGCTTAAGCGGTAGAAGTTATAGCAGCTATTTCGGAGATCACCACATCTCCTCATCAGACTTCTTTTTTCTAGATTTTCAGCAGGGATCGAACCCGCGTCATCGATGTGCAAAGTCAGAAGCGCTAACCACTGATCTATGCACACCCCGTAAGCTTTTGTTGCTAATCCAATTCCTTATTCAACCTACTACTATCAAGTGCAGCTGATTCGCCGCTATTAAAGCTTGACAGCGTGGTTGTTATTGTTAATTCCATACATGAAATAGATTCATTGCATAGTTTTTAGAGCAGGCTCATCCCATATATTTATGTGTCAATTTTTGTTGTGGCGTATTCATATTTATTTCAATAGTGTTATTGCGCTTTGTACCCCGATTTGCTTGTTAGGAATAATGGAAAAAACAACAATGCTTAAGCGGTACAAGTTATAGCAGCTATTTCGGAGAACACCACATCTCCTCATCAGACTTCTTTTTTCTAGACTTTGAGCAGGGATCGAACCCGCGTCATCGATGTGCAAAGTCAGAAGCGCTAACCACTGATCTATGCACACCCCGTAAGCTTTTGTTGCTAATCCATTTCCTTATTCAACCTACTACTAGCAAGTGCCGCTGATTCGCCGCTATTAAAGCGTGACCATTTTCGCTACTGTTAATTCCATACATGAAATAGATTCATTGCATAGTTTTTAGGGCGCTAATCCATTTCCTTATTCAACCTATCTATTTCATGTACGGAATTAACAATAACAGCCACGCTGTCAAGCTTCCCAGTAGCGAAAATGGTCACCGGTGACATCGTCACTAGTGAGGATTTAGTGACATCGTCGCACTTGCTGTGAATCCTAAACGACATATAGCTGACAATGACACTGGTGACAATGTCATGCAGGAGTACTGCTATCAAAGACTTATAACAGACAATGGGCCTTATGCATAAAAAGTGAGCTTAAACTCAGACCCAATTTTTGCACTGAGGGGTGAGCTCAAGCTCAAGAATTTGTACTGAAAATCGAGTCGGAGCTTAAGCTCACTTTTTATGCATGAGGCCCAATGTCTTGCAGCCGTCACATATAAAAAGTCCATTGCAAGATACTGTCGCTTGAATGTCATTAATGATCACTGCATGACCAAGTCATGCAGATGACATCAACGACGAAATTACCATTTATATGAAAAAGTCATGAACGACTTCCATACAAACGGAGCCCAAAGTCATTTAAGACGTAACTTTTCGGTACAAGACTCTTAAGTGACTAATGGATAAAGTGACTAATGGATAGTGTCCAAACGGTAAATTTTTTGTCGCTGTTGATGTGCGCATGTTTATATGTATAAATACATACTACTACAT